TATTAGATAATAATTAGTAAATATTTCATATTAATTATTAGTGCCTAATAGAAAAACTGCTGAACTGAACAAACTGTATTCCTTATCCACATCTCAGCTATATTTCAGCTCTGTTCCCAGTCAAAATTTTTGTCGTGTTTATGTCATCTTTAATGAAGAAAGTAGCATAGGTGATCTAGCAGGAAAAAGTCAACCTTTCCTGACCTCTCAGTCCTATTTAAATTTAGGGTCACATGATCCTCCAACTTTCATTAGAAACAAGTGAAAGGGAAAAAAAACAGAATTTTAATACAAAAATGTCTTAGGCAGTACAAGAATTATGAAGAAATCCAATATTGCCATGTCAGCTGACAAGGGGGAAAAGGAGAAAATTGGCTCCCTAAAAATAATTGTTTAAATAATTAGAACAATATCCCATCATGATCTTTCTCTTCTTTTTGCATATGTTTGGTTCAGTCTGGGTTTTGATTTAGGCTTAAAATATTAGTAGTTTAGGGGAAAAATAATAAATGTTTGGCAGCATTTGTATAATATATTGGAAAAAAATAGTTTTAAAACATCCCATTTGACAGTAGTGAGATGATTATTTTGGTCAGCCTATCGCACCTGGATGTAGAATTCACTGCTGCTATTTTGTTTGGGTTTTTTCTCTGTTGCATTGAGGTTATCTAGTTTCAGATACAATCTATTAAGTGGAGTATTTTTTTAGTAGCTGAGGTTTTTCCACCTGTCTAGCCTAAAACACCTGCAACATATGTTTGTGTAACCCTGCAATGCTTTGTGGTTTGGGCCTTGAGAAATTCCCCCTGAGCTTTTTGCTTATAAACAGCTGAGCAATTCATTTCTCTAATGACAAGTGCTTTTTTCCCTTGGCATTGAGGCAACAGCATGTTTGCTAAAATACCTCTCATTTTTTGTTAGATATATTGAAAATCTTTTTTCTCTTATTCTGAACCTTCAGATTTTGCTCAAAATTGTATTTGATGTTTTTTTCCCTTGTTAATAAAACTAGAAAGGGAGAAAAGAAAATGCCTCAACAAAGACGAGTGTTATCGAGATTCCTCCACTTGCACCTGCATGCAAACTTCTAAACATGCTGTGTATTCAGGAGTTAGATATCGGGTACGTTGTAAAACAGCCTGGGAGTTCTGTCACACACAGAACATGCTTTGCTATATTCTGTCTAATCCGTGGGTAATGTGATGCGGTATGTCTCCAGAGGCCAGGGAGGAGAAGGGGTTTACATGGGAATTGGAGCATATGGAGCAGGATCCTTAGCTGGCGGGAGGTGCTTTTCAGCAGTTTGTGCAGGTTTAGGGAATCAGAATGCAGCGTGATTCTGAGCACGGCGGCAGCCCCTCACCCAGGAAAAGTGCAGCTGTGGGTACAACTTAGCTGAGCCCCGTGTCCCTGGAAGAGGATAAAGGCAAATAGAAAGTCCCGAAGAACCTCCTGGCAGCCGTGGGAATTGGAGTGAGTTAGTCTGGGGGTGGCTGGGAATAGCCAGGAGGTCAGGGAGAGGACTTCAGCAGGCAAATGAGCCGGGGACAGGGGCATCTTTTAGGCAAGGAGAGGCTCAGAGGCAGATAACTTTTTCAGATACCTGAAACATTTTCAGGCTTTTTTTCCCTTTCGGACTGTGGCTAATACACTTTGAAGAGACAAAGTCCAAAATCACATCAATTTCTATGTGTTTCTATATGTGAATTTCATATATTGTCCTTTTAAAAGCATAAATTGGGAATTTTCTACCAGTTGAAACTATGTTCACTGTAAATGGACATTAAGATTAGAAGAATAATAAATCCAGCAAACTACTCCTACAAAATGGGTGTGGGAAAGTAGAAAGGGGTGGGGGGGTAGTATTATCATAGACAGCTTTTCTCTGATTTCTACTCTCTCTTTCCTTATTAGGGGAAAATCATATATGTGTTAATCGGTGTAAAGCCCTCAACCCTTACCCAATTTCTTGGAGGAATTCAACAAACTATAAATTTAAAGTATTGCTTTCATTGTCATTTTAACATTATCCTTTTAAGAAAAAAATATTTTATCCATGTTAGTGACAAAATAATGTACATACATTGAAAAAGAAAAGGAATAACTTTACTTATATAAGTAATGAAAAATACAAATTGGGTCATTCTAAATTGCACTGTGTAGGAAAAAAACTGGTTACTGTGAATATTTTAAGCAACAGAGGTATTTTTTTTGTAAATTAATTTAGTCCTTAGTTCTAACACATGGGTTGTAATTTAGGGGACATCTCAAATTTAATGCTTAGAGAAGGGAATTACTTTAAAATTCTTAAAGAACAAGCGTTGTAATTGTGTAGGTTTTCTGTTCTGCTTTTTACATTTAACTTACCCAAATGGTTGCAAAGAATACAGAACTTAAAGGACAACCACAGTGACATAAAGATCTTAATCTTCAAAATAACATTTTTTTTACGGTCTTAATTTCAGTTTTCAGAAGTATTTAAATTTTCTGTGGTGACACTCCACAGATACTTGTCTGCTAACATATATATCAGGTTAGTTTTTTTAAATATTGAAAATTTTTGAGAGGATATCTCAGTGATGCTGCAAAAGAAGTTGCAGTAGTAACCCTTGGCATTTACTATATTGCATTTCTAATGTTTTTCCAGAGAGCTTTTTTTTCATTGCATGTAATAGTACTTTATACTGCTTCTTCCTTTGATACCTTTAAACCTCACAGGAATTTAAATAGGCCCCTGTGAAAGTAAAGCTTGAGCCTCATTCATATGTTCAAGTTAGATGTTATTCCTATTAATGGCTTTAAGTGCTTAGATAGTAGATCAGCTTTTCATGTGTTCAATTGCTTGTCATTTCTGCATAAATATGTTTCAAGATACTGTTCCACATGATCTTTTCCTCTTGTTCTGGTTTTGAGTTTTTATTTAATTCAGAAGCAATGTAATAATAATAATTTTCATTATTTATTGGGTGGTAAAAAAGAAATTTCAATGTTTTTGCTAACTATCAATATATACTGAGTTACTGGAAGCAAACTGCAAATCCAGCTAGCACCTGGTAAATTGTACTTTTCAAAGAGTTGTCTTATGGCATAGAAGTGCCCATTATTTTAGCCATCTCTTACTCTTCAACCTTACCCTTCAAAACATGTAAGGAAAGAAGTTACTTAATTCAAAGGAGAAAAGTTACACTGATTACTCACACAGAAGTCACAGAACCATCAGTTACCATCATCACGTCAGTTTGGATTTGATTATCATAGAAATGTATTGAATTACCAAACTAGAGCAATAGTAACTAAAGCTGATTCATTGTTATTGCTGTCAGTTGATGAGGGCTGACTTTCAAGCTCTATGAATAGGTAGAGTTATTCAAACATTGTTTTTATAACGGGAGGTGAAAAATGTACAACAGCCATTACAATGTGGGTGGTAGGATAGATGAGAATGTTTTAATGCTTGTCTAATAGCTTTTAGTTGCTTCATTTTTTTAATGAACATTACAAATATACATGTTTAAAATGTTTATTGTGTTTCCAAAGAAAACATTCAAGATTTTCATACAAGATTAAGTCTAACCGCAGGAAACAATCTGGAAATTCCCACCCTTAAATATGCTTCCAGAAATCATCCTAGCCTTTGATATCTTCCAATTCTATACATTTTCTTCCCTCCTTTTATGCTCATGCAATGTTTTGGTCTTTAAAATTCAAGTCCTGTATCCTCCTCCAGAAATAAGATTTTCAAGGAAGAAGGGCTATCTGTAGGTATGTGGAAAATGAGAGGATAAGACTGTAGATATTCCAGTCTGTAATGAAATCTGGAGAGCAAATATACCACATGTGAAACTGAAACATCTGAAGACTGACTGTCAAAAGTATAATATACTCTCACTGGTGAACAGCAGTTTTGGAAAGGTCAATGCATGGTTCACTAAAACTCTATTTACTACTAGCAGGACTTAAGAAAGCAGATGAGAACATAAGGCAACAGCCAATAAATTATTAAGCCTTGGTAGCAAATACTTAGAAAGTATTTAGATCTCTTTTATGCAATATATCTGATAATTATGCAGAAATTTACATTTTCTCTTGCACTAGAAAATTATTTAAGGCATTTCTCATTTATATATATTTATTTTTTAAAGGGCCTCCCTATACTGCTCCATTATTTCGTTTCCATCTGCATGCAAATTTTTTTACTTAAAAATATTTACTTGCCCCTCCAAATAGTGTCCTTCAGGATGCATGCATTCGATCAAGATAGTTTATGCATATACTGAAGTCTGTGCTTAATGCTCAGTGGATTCTTAGATCCCAAAAGGATGATTTCAAAACTACTGAAGGCAGCCTGATTCCATGAAAGAGTTTCATTGTGTCAGAAGTGGAGAATAACAGGTGAATTCTAGTTTCCATATTAATTGTATACACTTTATTATAGGACAACAGTTCTTTATTCATGGCTTCAGTTCTGAATAGGGTGAAATTTGGAGAGCAAAAATAGGCTTCGTGTGCCATCTAGTGGGATTGTGCAGATTGTCTCACTAAAATTAATTCTTTGCTTAACAGAGATACTGCTAGTGATGTATTCAGTTCAAAATGTTTACTCTAGTTTCTCCGTACTCTTACCATTTTCTTTAAAAGCACAGCACTTTAGCTTGGAGGTAGTCAAATTCTATACCTGACCTGCAGGAAGAAATCATATCAGTATCTGTTCTTGTCCAAGAATTATTGATATAATTAGGAATGTTACCACTACAGCAAACAGCCTCATCACCATGTGGAAGAGTACTGATTTCTCTCAGCATGGAGTGGACTTACAGGTAGAATTTGGTATTAAGTATTTTAAGTCTTCACTTTTATGTAAATGACATTACTGCCCTGAAAAACCAAGATCCCAGGAAAAGAAATTGTTCCATAAGTTTCATGTAAATGAACATATTTCATGTCTCTGCTTAAAATCTCCTAGAAAATTACAATGAAGTATTTTTTTTTTTATTTTTTAGCGAAATCCAAGACCAGTGACTCACCAGTTCCAACAAAATTTAGATTATTACAAAGCACGTGGAGCAGACTTGATGAACAAAACCCGGTAAGCTATTTCTAAATATATGTTCACCAAACTAAGACCTTACATAAACAAAATGTTTCAGAAGTCACATTTATCCTAAACAGGAATTACATAACCAGTATTAGAAGCACATGTGTTTATTTCATGACATTTATTTCAAATCTGTCCCTTGACTGTTACATGAAAAAATTTAAGTTTTTACACATAGTGTTGCACTAACTCCCTGGCATCGTTTTAAGGGAGGCTGAGGACACTTTTACACAGTGGCATGAATCCTAAAAACGGGGTAAAACATTGCCAGTGTGAATTCCGTAGCTGAACTAATTCTGATAATTCACCTAATTGCAATCTGGAGTATCCATGTACCAGAAGCAAATGAAGTTAAATTAATCTAAATCGACTTTGAAGCAATTTTTACAAAACTTTTCCTCCCATCTTTTAGAAGTGGTTTGTATCAATAATGCCAAAATTTCTCATCAAGGCTGTATTAGCCAGGTGGCCACAAAGTGGGTGCCAATGGCTGGTGGCCACAGGTCAGTCCAGCACAAGCCATAATGCTTCAGCTGACTCAGTCACACGCAGTTTCTTGGGTTGAACGTGGCCCCAGCCATACCCTCTGCCTGCTGATTCATAAGAACTTGCTGGCTTTTGGACTTCTGCATCTCTAGCCCATTCTGTGGAAATCAGCTGTATTAAAAAGCCAACTGAAATTAAAATGGAGTAGTTTGAGAAGCTTTTAAAAAGGAACAAAGAAGCAGAAATTAAAGCTAAGTAGAGTGACTGTAAACTGTAAAAAATCTTGCTTTATAAATCAGGCTTTAAAGTTGTGGACAGGTGTCAAAAATTGCTGCATTCTATTTCATTTTCTTAATGTTTTTACTTATTCTTTTGAAAAACTATCTCAAATGTTGCCTAAGCTGGAAAAATAAGTTGCTTGAAGTTTCAAAAAGAAAGGTTTCAAAGATTTTGAAAAAACAAGTAAATCACAAAGCCCGAACAAGAATGACACCTGCCGGAAACCTAAATTCCAAGAAAAGAAAATTCATTAAATCTATGTAGGAATATAAATTAATTGCACACATATACTCAGAATACACACCAAAGGAGATGGGAAGTTTTTTAGAATAATTCAGATAGAGGAAAATCTGGGATAAATTCATCCCAAGACAGGAATGCTTAGAGTAGGTCAAGTGTGGTAAAACTGTTTAAGATTGGAATAGGGAGAGAACTGGAAGATGTAATATTAGGAAATGTTTCTGCAGTGAGCAGAGATGGATTAAATCAACTACCAGTTCTAATTCATCTTTAATTCCACAGACTCCATTATATGTTTAAAATATCTTGACCAATCTCTAATATATATTACTTATTTTATCACATACAAAACTTTTTAATCGGTCATATTCATATATTTGTCTCATCTCTTGTAATGATTACATACTGAAAAGAGAAAAGCATTTGAATAAGGCCTGCTTAAAACAAAACATTTCCATCTTAGCAGAAAACTGCAGAGATTGAATCATCTTCCTACTGCAAGTTTAAAAATACACCATTCACAGTCAAGGTCAATGATGCTTATTGTGATAAAACAAAATTGTTTGCTTCGTGGATGGAATTCATGTCTCCTTGATACTCATATTTTTAAACTGATGCTTTACTTTTAAATGCATCTGCTGATAATTCTACAACATAAATCAATCAGTATTTTTCTTGTAATTGTTGTACATGTCTGGTATATTTAGATGGCTAAAATGTAGATTGATCCATGTTTAATGGCTGTAATCATCCTTTTCATTAATATATCGGACATTTAAATGGTAAGAAATAGACACTTTGTTCTTATTTTACTGGACTTCAGCTCACTTTTAATGTGAGTCCTCCAGAGATGTAGCATCTCACTATTGTTCATTTTCTGAAGCTGTCATTCAGAGAAATTGCACAGATTTTACTTCACAATACATTTTTTAAAACCACCTCTTGTAAAGATATTTAGATAGCGTCATTATTTATTTTTCATTAATGTGTTCTGAACTGATCATTAGCAGCGTCAGTTCATAGCACAGCTGAATCACACCACAGGTTATTAGAAGCTGTGATAACTATCCTGTCTGCTTGTAATGTAGTTCTAAAACATTCTTGCATTTTACAGTTGGAAGCATTTCTAAAAATGATATTTTGGACATAAAGACTAGGAAACTTTATATTTATTGTTCCTGTAAAATGAATTTTTTCTCAAAAAGTCTCTTTCCAACCATCTGAAAAATGCAAATAAACTAATTTGTGTACATACATGTCAAAGGAATAAATCAAAGAGTGTGGAAGAAAAACTGGCACCTTTTTATTAAGCAAAATATAGCTGAAAAATAGAAAAAAACAAGAAAGAAACAAGCTGCTGGACACAAATACACAAGCCTCTGTATAAGCTTTGTTTCCTGCATCTGTGTACTGTCACAATTCTGATGATACATTAAGCTCAAAGTGTCCAGTGGTTTTGTTGCTCAGGTAGCCTGTCAGTGTAAATCACTTACTTCCAGTAAATATAATTTTTTGTGCAAAGTCAAGGGGGTCTTCTAGTGATTGTCAAGGTTCTAGACTTAAGAGACAATGTAAACCTAGGACTCAATGTGCCAGCCATTATCTTCCTTCTAAGGTAATGTTTCAGGTGAGTGAGTGATATGTACTACCCCAAACTCCAACTTTTGTGATTGTTTTCAGTAAACAGCAGGAAAAAATATTGTAAAGTTTGAGTTCTGAATCTCAGCCAAGTCATTACTGGTATGACCCCCAAAATGAGCAATGTAATGAGATTTATTGCAACTGTTGATAACTGATTGAGATCCCATTCAGCTTGACCTCATCTGTTAGCAGGTTCCCATTAAAAGAAAAGTGGAAACTTAGCCTACTACAGGCAGAATATTAAAAAGAAGCAATACACTGATGTTGATTCATGTACCCAACCCCTTTTCTTGTCTGGCATAATCCACTAGAGCAGCAACTTCACTTTGAAATGCTGACATTTGTGTTCCTGTGTCTACCACAAAAATGACCAAATATTTGAAAGGGCCCAAGGGAAAAGTGATTATCAAATCCCCCTGGCTGTTTTCTGTGAGCCTTTGCATATAAATCCACTGGCCATCCCTCACTCAGAACAGGCTAATCTGGTAATTCCAGGTTCTGGAGAGTTCTGAGGGGACCAAAGTGAGGGGGCTGCCCTTAAAGGGGTCACTCATGTCCTTTGATCTTCAGTATGCTGGCATCCCTGGCAAAAGAAGACAAGTCTCGAGGGGTTGGTCTGGACAGGTTACCCCTTAGCAGCTGAAGTTGTTTAACAGCTTGGACTCTGAGATATTTCTCAGATGGAATCTCAACTTCAGTCTCATGAAGTGCTTTTCACACTGCTGTTGTTACTTCCTCCACCTTTTCAGGGGGGGTCTCCTCCAATTAATTTCATTTCCAGAGGGAGTGAGACTGTTCATTGCACAGCCTGCCCGGTGATGGGTGAATGTTCATACCCTTGCAGGAGTCTGTTAAGGTGTATTGCCCTCCCTTCCAAGCCTGTGCCAGCTGAGCAGTGGTTAAAGGGGCAGTATTGGCATTCAATTGTCTGAAATAAACTGGAAGCCACAACTCTCTGTTGACTCCTTCACTGCCCAGGCAGAACAATTAGAAGGGGACTTTGAAACCAACCTGTCAATGCTCAATCACATGGGTGCTTATACTGTGGCTGTTGGGTTTGCAGTGTTGAGTGTTGCAGCTGTTAGTGGAATGAAATCAGCTATAACTTAAGGAATTCTATTTTGTCCTGCAGCAAAGATCCAGTACTGTGATACACCAGCAATCCTTGAATCACTCAGTGCAGGCACTGCATGAAACAAGAGCACTGTTGTCTCTGGATTTCTTTTAAAAGGGGTCAGGGTCAGCAGAATTCTGCTTCTCACCCAGGAGCCACCGAACATCCAAAAACTCTCCTCCTCGCATTCAGCTAGGGGGTGCAAACCTGGCCTCAGCAAAGAGCCTTCAGCTTTTGCACATCAGGGGGTTGTTTGAGTCACTAACCATTAACACTTCACTCTTTCACAACTACTCAGTTTGCTTTTGAAATCATTTGGAACTCCTGTAGCAGTATTTTACAGTTCTGCAGATGCTTTCTTGGTAGTGACTTTGTCAGTCATTCTCAGGTAACTGTGGACGGACTTTTTGTAACACTAGCAGCAATCCCTAAAATCAGACACAGAAACATCCTGTAATTATTATTCAGCATTCTTCCCCAGCTTCCATAAATTGGAAAGCAACACTTGGTCCCAGTCTCTACACTGCTGTTCCTCCTAAAAATTCTAGATGCCATTCTTCATCAGCAGTATATGGCAGAAGTGCCCCATACAGCTTGAGACTGTATGTTGTGTGTTCAGGCTCTCATACTTCGTCTGATACCTCTCCTTTTCTGTCTATTCTGAGTATTCTGATTCTAAACAACTCAGCTGTTGTTATTTTCTGGGTTTGCTTTATATGTGTGTGCATGTTTGCATTGTATATTCTAAAAAAAAACTCATCCCTGGAGACAAATAGAGAAATTATAGGAAGAGCAAAATCAAAATTACTCTTCTAGGTGTCTGCAGAAGTTATAAATTACCTGTATTAATTCATTTGTAGTTTATTTTTAGTTCAGCTTCCCCAAAACATCGTAAAGCTATTTTCCCCAGTACAATGACTGAGTTGGTTTTAATTACATTTCTTTATGTTTTTAAAGGAAAGCTATTTATATCATGGAAGTACAGATCAGTAAAATAAAACCTCAGGAGTGAAAAGGTCTTTGTGGTTGTGATATATTTCTGTGAAGGGTATTTCAAGCATTAATTATATAAGGCAGGGAATTACTGCATGAACAAATAGGAATGGCTTTGCTAATCTGTGGGTTATGTGAACACTTCCATTGGGAATAAGAAGGTTCTTTGCCTCTTTATTTTAGACAAATTAAATGGTTCAACAGTTTCCTCCTTCTTAACGTTGCATATAACTGAAGTGAATTAAATAGCCACTGTAGTTAAAAATAAAAAGTAACAGTTATAAGGATTGTGATTCAGTACATGTGTTACACCCTGAAGCAGTTCTTGAGCAAAATCACTTTAGAAATCAGGATTTCTGTTAAAAACTGCTTGGCTTGAAATGATTGTCTGGGCAGAAGGTGAACTCAGAGCAAGAGACATCTAGCTCTGCCAACCTAAAAGGACAGTTTAGTGTTAGCTTTGCTTGTTGAAAAACATGGTTGGAGTTGAGTCATTTTAAACATTGGAGAGAATTTAATCTAGCAGTAGAGCCTGCATTGCTTTTTGTCACTCTTCTTTTCTTTTTCTAATTTAGGAAGGGAAATTAAGAAAATTGGTACAAAGTCTCTTTGTTTGGGGTTATTCTGCATTTTTCAGGGAGAAGGACCAAAATAATTTGTCCACTTATGGTTGGGAAAAATTCATAACCACAGCCAGTCCCTGTGGTCTTTGTGTGTATTCCAGTGCAACTGTAGTAAAACACTTTCTTTGTAATGTTCAAATCTTGGATTTTTATCTCCAAGTTTTGAAAAACGATGCATGCATGGCTGTGCCTGTCCAGACCGTTTACAACGATGTGATGATTTCTCCTCTTCTTTTCTCAGTGCCAGTGCTAAAGCTGCCCCTCTGAACATCAACAAAGTTTCCAACAGCTTATTGAATTTTGGCCGAAAGCTCATTGCTCCAGCCATGGCTTCAGGTGGGGCAGTGGGCACTCCTGCCGGCGGGAGCAGCTTCCCTCCCTCTTCAATGCCAAGCAGGAGCACGGTGGAAGCCCCTCAGCACCAGCAGCAGCACCACCACCACTACCACCAGTCACAGCAGCAGAGGATGATGAAGTCTGAAAGCATGCCAGTTCAGCTGGGCAAAGGTAAAGGGGAAACGTGTGGCAGCACCGTGACTGAGGGAAGCTTTGTCGTACAACTTCAGGGCTGAAGAAAGTTCTTTGTTCTATTCGTTCTTATATCAGCATGCACATATTCGGAGGAAACGGCCAAAGAAGTATTTTGTTAGGCAGGATGCCTATGCCAAGTACAACAGCACATTTGCAGTGCAATACAGAATTAGATGTTATCTCAAGAATGTACAAATACTGTAAGGAATTTTGAACTTCTAAAAATATATTAACCAGAAACTGCATCAGACAGGCCAACAACTTAATCATTACTATAAACATGAGCCAATTAATTTTTCAGATTTTTAGATGCAACCTTTTTTTAACTGGAGGACTAATTTCATACATATTTTTTCAAGTTGTCAGCAAAAAATAGCATGCATAACAGTATTAGCTAAATACATAATACTAAGTGAAAGAAGTTAGAGAGTAATCCTTAATAAACAAATTCTTATTCCCTTTAGAATGTGTGGAGCTTATTTAAGAAGTTATTTGAACCATTATATGAATTTGTCTTTTCATAATTTGTGATGGCCCTCTGCACTTTATTTAGTAAACACTGCATCTTTTTCTTAAGCCTTGATTTTTATATTTCTTGAGAACAGCTTATTCAAACAACAAACTCACAAGCTGAGCTTTGGTAGTTGTTTGCTATACTCTGCCACGCTCAAGGTAGGTTACTGCTTTTCATCTTCAGCCAGCCCATGGCAGTATGTGCTTTTCAAGGAGCATGTAGGGCCAAAAAGTATCTGCTGCTTTGAGCAACTCATCCAGTGTCATGGTTATGAGCTTGAGGGCTGGTGCTGGTTGCCCTGAAACTTTGCATAGGATTGCATCTTTTTTTCACCAGATTTGAAAGTGTAAAAGAAAGGAAGTAACACTTCATAGCTGAAGTTGGTGTTTTTTTTCTTTTCTGTGGCACCTGTATGGTCCAAAGGCCCTTTCATGATGCATGGCATCCCCAGCAGACACTGAGAGAGCAAAACTGAAAGGTACAGCTGTTCTTTTGGAGCAGACACATACAGGCACTTCTGTAAAGGCCACTGTAGCTGCTTGGCAAAATCCAGATATGCAGCTTCTCTCAATTACAGAAGAATCTCAAAACTTGCTCCAGCAAGGGTTTAACACTGCAGACGGGAAGTGAAACTTTGATGCAAGTCCTGTTCACAATAATGGAAGTAAAATTAGCTGTAGAACAAAATTATTTACACTGTTTCAGAGAGACTCTTTGTTTAAGAGTTTTCCATAGCTCTCTTACCACATTCTCTTTTCCCCTTTTGAATTTAAAAGTTGCCCTTGGGTGGCTGTTTTCTTTCCCTGCTTAATATAATAAAAGCACACGATTTGAAGTAACTTCTGTAGATGGAATTGATTGTAGATTAATCTTGATGTATGTGCTAAGGGATGACCTGTTGTATGGGACAATTAACATGTATCATCAGGAAACGCACCTGATACTTCCCATACAAGAATTAGAATAAAAAATTGTAATAGTGTTTGGTCATGTACAAGCTGTGCACATATTGCTCTATCAACAGGAATATGGAGATTTGATAAAGTTATGAAGAATTTATGATGTAGGGCACAAAGTATTTAATGGTAAGAGGAACAAACGTACTGCACCTTCCTCTCAGTGTATTCTGTCTATCCATATTTGGTACAGCCTTTACAGAAGTAATTTAAGGGCAACAAAATGTAAATATACTATTTTTAATAGGTTCAGATGACAGTGAGTTTTGTTTTACATATTAGTGCTATGCTTGTTGTTCCAGACCTGTACAGTTATAAGTATTTTTCCTATAATTTTATAGAAATTTTAAATGATGGCAGCTATGTTTGCAAGTGCCATTATTTATATTTTTAAAGAAACAAAAAATAACAAAAGAAAATACTAAGTGTTTTAGAGGCTCCCCAGTGAATGGTGGAGACATGCTAAAAAGCCTTTTGAAGCTTGCTGCAGGGACCTTTGTAAACTGTACAATCTCTACCACACCTTAAAAGCAAGAGTAAGTCTTTTCTGTTCTCTGGGGACAGTAACATCACCTCAAGAAAGAGCAGTACAGCAAATCCAGTGAAGGAGTGCACCCTGTGCAGCTATGAGAAGCTGCCAGTACTTCTATCCCAGGCATTAAGATTTAGGATTTAAAATATATTCATACTCTCAGAAGCTTTCATTCCACTCATGTTTGTGCTGAACTTTTTAGCTTCTCTGCTGTCTTTTTTCTAGCTCTGGATTCTGCTGTAGGTTTTGAGTATCTAAAAGCTATTTGGCATGATTTGGCTCCCAAATTACTAACTAGCTGTCACTGATTGTCTCCTGTTCTCGTTTTTTGTTGTATGTTCAGCTCTCCTCAACCTCCTGGAGCTTGGGTATTTAGCTGAGGTAGGCAGAGACATGGATTTAGGATTTAAATTGATAGGCATTTGCACTCGAGTTGATGCAATACTCACAGATGTTCAGTTGGACAGTATAACAGGCCAAAGTGCTGTAAATCTCACAGGCATCAAGCCATAAAATAAGTCATCCAGTTTTCTTATTGGTCTTTTCAGGTTCTGAATGCTCAAGGAGTGCTGATAATTTTAATTAATATGTAGAGATTTATAAATTTGAAGAGATTTAATTAATTGACTGATCTACTTTGTGAAGAAGTCCTTGTTAAGGAAACACCTTGCAGGACTGCCAAAATAATCCTATCCCAGCTTTGTTTCAACAGTTACCACTTACAAACCAGCTAGCATTCATGCTGCCATACTCTAGATGAGGGATGATTGGGTTACATAATCAATTGTAATTATTTCTCACTCCAAAGTTTTGGTACTTGCTGAATTTCTGTAAGAAAAAAATGCATATAATTTAGATTATGTAAATGGAAAAACAGCAGAGTGAAAAAAAAAACCGTCAACCATAATTGCAAGCCTGTAATTCCAGATGAGTCTTCAGCATTACAAATCACAGCTGAACGAAGTATCCAGACACCTAATTGGAAATTCAGTTCCTCCTAATAATATATTAATCCCATTCAGCCTGTCCTCAGCACAGAAGAAGATTGGGTATCATTACTGATTACTTATGCAAGGTAGCCTGCTGACAGAAGAGGGATTAAAACATTCTCTCTATCCTGCACAGTGAAGTAATTCATTGGCACAAAAGTTGAATTCAAATATTGAGTTTATTGGATTTTCAATTGAGGTGGTAATTTTGAAAGATAAAATATTGATAATGAAAAAAATATGGAAGAAAAGCACAATGGTTGCCCTGCATGTTCCACTGGATCCTTCATCATTCAGAAAGTGGATATTCTTTGATTACCAAATGGCAGTATATTGCCAAGAAAAAAAAAGCATTTCTCTTTCTCTTCTTTCCTGACAGTGCCCAATACAGTTTTCCTTCTAGGTCATTTCAGGGTGAAACCCAAAAGGCTTTTGATTTAAATGCAGCTTTATTACAAGGACACATTAAAGGACTAGTTTAAAGACAAAGTTCTGCCAAAACTGTATTTTTTAAAGAGTTTCTAGGCTACTCTTTGTTTTTATGAGTTGATACTACTGTGGTATTTGTTGTAACACAAACAGAATTTCTGCAGTCACCACGTATGCCCTAGAGAAATGATCCCTGCCCTAGAGAAATGATCCCCCAATTTAGAATTATTTATGAAGTGTCTCTAAGAAAATGAGTATGCTTTTCATATGGATAAAGAAAATGTCCTTATTAATAGCAGAACTGAGTACAAATTAAAGGAATAAAACACAAATTGACAAATGGGGATTTTTTCCTTTTTTAAAAACTTATAAATATACATATTAATAGGCAATTATGAAATTTTTCCATGGTAACAATACTTCTGAGCTCCTTAGTGTAGGAGAGACATGGAGCAAGTCCAGTGGAGGGCTCCAAAGAAGATTAGGGGACTGAAACACCTCCCTTACGAGGAAAGGCTGAGGGAGCTGGAACTGTTTGGCCTCAAGAAGAGAAGATACAGAGGTGATAGTATCTAAAGGGAGATGTGAAGAGGATGGAGATAGCCTCTTCTTGGTGGTGCCAAGCAGTAGAACAAGAGGCAATGGGCAGAAACTGATGCATGGGAAATTCCACCTGAATGTGAGGAAGAACTTTCTTGCTGTGCAAGTGACTGTGCCTTGGAACATATTGCCCAGAGAAGTTGTGGAGTCCCCTTTCCTGGAGATACTCAAAATCAGGACACAATCCTGAGTAATGTGCCCTAGGGGACCCTGCTTGAACAAGGGCCAGGTGACCTCCAGTGGTCTTCCAACCTCAGCCATTCTGTGAAGCTCCCAAATAGCAGAATGACACTGTCTCCGTAAAGTGCCAGCAACAAAACGGTTTTGGCTCTCCAGTTAAGTTTAGTTTTTGATCTAAATCATCACTTTAAAGCACTGAGGTTCTGCAGCCTGTGACTACTGGTTATCCAACCTTCCCGTTTCCTTTTGCCTGTCCCTACAGTGCTCTCTCACAATGTCCTTTCTGTTCAAAGCAGGGTGCTCCGGCTGAACCCCCCAAAGCTGCGGCCCTTCCCTCGGGCAGCAGCAGCGGCGGGGCCGCGCTAACGCTGTTGTTTGTTCGCCAGGCGAGGCGGGCGAGGCGGCGCCGCCGGGGCCGGCCCAGGCCCAGGCCCAGGCCCGGGCCCAGGCCCAGCAGCATCCCCCGGCCACCACAGGTAGGCCCGGGCGGCGCCCGCCGGCACTGCCGCTGTCCCTCCACCCAGCGCCGCTGTTGTGCCGGGAGAGAGCTCGGCTCCTCCGCTCCCTCCCGACAGCTCGCTGTGTCCGTGTGTGTGTGCCCGTGTGTCTGTGCATGTGTGTGTATGTGTCTGTGTGTCTGTGTCTGTTTGTGTCCGTGTGTGTCTGTGTTTGTGTCCATGTGTCTGTCTGTGTGTCTGTGTGGGTCCGTGTGTGTCCGTGTGTGTCCGTGTGTGGCTGTGTGTGTGTCTCTGTCTGTGTCTGTGTGTCTGTGTGTC